CGCCCACAGGGCCACCCCCAGCCGGCTCCAAGACTCAGAGCCAACGCCAGCCGGCTCCAAGGGAAAGCTGCCCTTCTCCAAGGCTTTGAGGACAAAAAGGGGATCCATTTGCTCACCACTACCATGCAATTCGCATTACTCAACAGTGCATTATTCCTACTGACTACGGCCTTCAGTGCATTTTCATTAACTAAAGGCCCTAAAAGCAGCAGGGACCAATTGAGGATCTCACTTGAGGGGGGGTCTGAGGATGCAGCTGTGTTACTTGCAAATCTGACCTCATTCTGATTTACTTCAGGCACAATCAGCACCACCTGACACAACTTCAATCAGAATCAGGCCTACTATCTGACACCCTCTCAACAGGTCCATTCAAGATGAGAACAACAACTAGCGTCGAGCAGGCATCGTGACGGGTTTCTCTGCGTTGGACGTACCGGATGACTTGTTACGGGAACCCTCCTCACTGCGCAATTCAACAGATGTCCCGAAATGGGCAGAGCTCCTCAGTAGTACGCACTCCAGCATCGCTTTCATTCATCTGAAAGGAAATGACAAACATTTCATTAGTATTCCAGAAAAAATGGCTTTGTTGATACCTATTCGCTACTGAGAAGAGGAGTGGCCTCACGAGAAAGGAACAGTAAACTTTGTCCTATGGAGCTGCTCATACTCCTGTCCATTCATGCAGAACACACACTTTTGGTGTGGCAGGAGTTTGTACACGCTTCTCGGGCTCCACAGGACACAAAGGAATGAAGACCTGTTCTGGAAATTCCCTTCCCTAACTCTTGTATTGCTCAGCCTTTGGAGTGGGCAAGTGGACTAACTTGGTTCATGCCTATTAGGTCACATTGCCCCCTGCAATGGAACGAGGTGGTGGAGCTTTCCTGCTTCATTTGCGCATCAACTGATACTAGAGAAGCCTGCCACAGAAATGGAAAAACTTGCGGGCAAGAGAGGTACGCACGAGTCCCTGGAAGCCTCCTGCCTGCCTGCTGAGGAATCAGATGGGCCCTTTACTACTCCACTGCCTGGCCTGGCACAAGAAGCCCCATCTCCTCTTGATGCTAGGAGGCTTGGAGGCTATTGCATCTGGACTATAATGAAGGATGCTAATAATGCACAAAAGCCTGCTTGTGTTTGACATGACACACCTTCAGAGTGAGCTGTCTTTCATCTGGGCTGACACCTTTCCATCACAGCGGCACAGTAGAGAAAAGCAGAGGAAAAGCAAGTCAACTGTAATCATTGCCTCTTCTTTACCTTCAGGAAAAGAGATTTGACAGTCTCCAAGAAGACATGAGGTAAGAGAAGAGGCTGCGCTACTTTCAAATGTCCACGCATCGCTGTGAAACTGTGCAAAAGGATAGCACTGAATACGTAGGCTTTAGAAATATTCATGCTAGGAGGCAGGCCCCAGGGTGGCCCCCGGGGGTTGCTTCTTGTCCTCTGTAGCATTGAGCACAGCCCCTTGTCAGGGCTCCTCTGGGCCCTTTCCGCTCAGTCCCTGCCTGCTGCTCCTGCGCCTCCGAGGCGCCGCTCGTGCCCTGCCTCTCTTGCCCATCGCTGGCCAAGAAGCACAGCCGAGCAAGTTTTGGACCGCAAAAAGTAGTATTGGCGTCCATAAGTGGATTTAATATTATTATTATTATTAAGTGGAGTTTTCTTTAGCAAGTATGGAGTAAGTTTTGGATAAGCTGTATGCTTTTGTTTACTCACACCAGCCTGCTGCTTTGGGCCTCTTCGCTACTGACACGGACTCCGAGATCAACGAGATGTTCAAAAAGTGCTGGCTGCTGTACCTCTTTGCCTAGGAGAAGAGGTAATTACGGCAGAGCGCTCGGAGAACGGGACGAGAAGCTCGGCGTGGAACTAGGTCCACCTAGTGGCCGGGACCATTAAGAAGGAACAACTGGCGGGAAGCAGGCACCGTGAACGGGTTTCTCTCGCCCGGGGCAGGGTGAGGAAACCCCCGCCTGGCTTGAGGCTCCCGATGGCCGCCATGTTGCACCCAGACCTGCCGGGTCGCTACCGCCTCCCGCAGAAGCCAAGGGCCGCCCGCGGTTACCCCAAAATAACTTCAACCAAGTATTTTTCCCCGTGTGGAAGATGGATGTCGTCAGTGAGGGTAAACTGAGGAAGAACGTCTGAGAGAAAAGCTGAACAGTGTTGCACAAGCAGCAAAGCTCGAGTTGTGCTGAAACTCGACAGGCTACTAGCAATTGCATATGGTTTTTAACCTGTGCTGTACACAGTGCTCCGACTGAAATGAGCAAAATCCACTAGGGTCAATTTACCTACACACTTATCCCAATCATCGCATTAATGAAATTCTCACACACCTTCATTCACCGTAACGAACGTGTATGGCCCTTCACACGGCAGTGTTTTCTCCTCTTGCCTTACTGCTTTTTTTTCCATATTTCATACAAAATAATCTCTTTGTTCTTCGTGCTATTTTTGTTTGTTTGTTTAGTTAACTAATGGGTACTTTTCTATATTTTTAAATTCATATGTAAGATTTTTATCTTTATAAAATGTTCTCCAGTTTTTAATACTGAAACATTCATTAAATGTATGTCCAATCAATACTTTCATAGTCTTTTCTCTTTCCTATTTCTTTTATAGAAGTTTTTAAGTGAGAGATCATACTCCCAACCAGTGTTATGATCCTTACTGCACACAACTCATTCTTCCTAAAATTTAGGACAAGAGCTTCAGAAAAAAAATCTACTCCAAAGTGAGATTCCCATCCAGAAGAAATTAGTTACAAACCTCAGATCCATGCCAGGACTTCATTTATGCTTTTCTTCAACAGAAATCCCAGAATGATTATTTTTTTATTTATACACTTGTCTCCACAAATTCATTATTTTGTTCTTTAGGAAGCTGGGCAATACCTAACTAATAGAGCGGAGCTACCAGCTACCTACCGCAGGCACTGCTCACCTCTGATGTTACTTCCAGACGTAAACTATCACACTGCCCAGGTGAAGCTTACCCATCTCAAGAAGTCTCACTGCACATCAGCCAAGTTGAGAACTCCTTGTTATTGTTATGACATGCAGAATAACTAACAAATTACGATTACTATGGTAATGATAGAATATCTGGTGGTTCTTAAGTAAAATATTACCTCTGAGGAACAGGAACGGTAGGGCTGAGTTTTCATTGCTATTTGTTAGCCATGCACTGAGAAGGAAAATTCCTTTGGGAAAATTCTGACTGATACTTTTCCAAGAGCTTCCGTTTCATAGCAGCTCTCACCATCCTTTCTTTCTCATAAATACACACAGTGCGAGCTGTGAAAAAAAACATAGGTTATGTCAGCCAGTTAGTTTTCCTAGAACAGGCTGATGTTGTCAGTCCAACAGTTTGATTGCCTTAGAGAAAAAGAAAATTTCAAGCGGGGAAAAAAAAAATCTAATAATCTATTCTGAGAAGCAGTAAGCCACAATTATCCATCAGTATCACTGAGATACCTCTATAATGCAAAACGCGTAGCAGTAAGAGCGATCGCAGACTGCACTTTCCTCGGTGAACCAAGTATGAGCTATAAACACCCCCATGCATCTTTTGGGGGATACCTCATTATTGCAGGAGATAATGGCCAATATTTCATACCTTTCTTTTTTTTTTTAAATGATACTAAACAGTAAGTTACAGACTAAAACTAATAGGAAATCATTCACGTGCCAGAGCTGGGTTGCTCTTTGTAGCTTATCCTGTGTTCCCTACAGTATATTTTTTCTATAATGGCACTTCTGTTGGAGCTGAGGAACAATATGTAATTACATGCTTTATTGTTATCATTTGAGCCTCTGGGTATTGTGTTGGTGATGAGATTTTCTTTAAGCACTATTCTTTTATAGTTCTTTCAAAGAGAAAGAGAAAATTCCTCCGATTTCCACAGAGAATCTTAATTATTAAGAGTACAGTCTCTAACAAATGCTGCAGGTTCAAATAACCAGAATTGAATCGTAACAAAGGTTAAAGGGGGAGCACGGTCTGAGTACAGTACGGTTTTTTTTTTTCCTCTCACACTAAATTTGCCTGTGCTCTCGGACAAGTCTTTGAACTGCCTTTCTAGGGTATCATAATATATGTTTAGCAGCAGAACAGTGCTAACAGAAGAAGCCTTAACTTGATTTTTCCCATTTTTAACCTCCAGCAACCAACCTGACACACCTGGACAGAAACCATCCCAAGACTTCCATTTTGTGCTGCCAGTAACCTGCACGACTTCACGCTGGAAGGACGCAGCCGAGGAGGTGCCGCCCTCCGCGCTTCAGCAGGCCTTTGAGAGGAGATTTTCTCAGAAAAGAAGCCGACCAGAAGAAGGAGGCACCGGTATCGCCCCTGCTCGCAGCCCCGCCGCGGAGGGCAGCCGGAGCGGTCCGTCTGGCGGGGCGCGGGGGGCCCCCCGGGGGAAGCGCCGGCCGCGGGACACCAGGACTTGGCGGGAGGACCTCAGCCGAGGCCCGGCGGGCCCCCCCGGCCCAAGCGACTCCACCGCCTGGCCGCGACGTGTTTTCCTGGACGCGGGAGAAAACGAAGCCGCTTTCCCTGGGAGCCCCTGCGG